CACGATCAGAGACTGAACCCAGACCTCGTGCATTGGGAGTGCATATCTCAGCCACTGTACCACGAGGAAGTTGTATTCACGGCCTTTATGAACTTCAGTTGCGTGTCAGTTTCTCTGGCTAACGATGGTAGTGGCTCAGATGGTAAAGAATCCACCTGCAGTGCAGGAGACCTGGGTCCAGTCCCTGGGTTGGGAACATCCCCTGGAGAGGGGAATGGCAACCCACTCCAGTGTTCTTGCCTGGAGAATCCCATGGACAGAGGAGCCTCAGCCACTGGACCACCAGGGAAGTTGTATTCGCACTTTGTGTGAACTTTAGTTACTGGATTTTAATCAACAAGACCAACCAAAGTCAATAGATAGACCCTTGGCATTGGAGGACTTAACTTTCTTGTCTTTGAATATTCGCTAGACTATTCTTGGGCACCCTTAGCAAACGCCATGAGAGAGCCATGACTTCGGGATTTAAGTTGTTGATACAGGGGTCTACTGACTCGCTCCCATATGAGGCAAAGGTGTGGGGCTAGTCCCTTATGTTCAGAGTGTCTTACCAAGTAGCCGCATGACAATGTGGCTCTATGTTTTCATTTATATATTTTGCCGGGAAAATGCTACGGGCTCCGGCTTGGGTCGCTTTTTACTGAAACTTGCGCAGTCATGCTCTTTGTGCGAAACCTTCAGAGAGACGCCTCTTGGATGCTGCAGGCTCCCCCAGCTCCCGGTGATCACTTCTTCCTTACTCTGCATGGTTAGCTGAAGCAGTGGCCTTTGAGGCTCCTGTAACAAAATACCACAGGTGGGGCAGGTACAAACAACACAAGTTTATTTCTCAGTTCTGGATGCTCTAAGTCCAGGATCAAGGTGCCATCATGGTTGTGTTCTAGTGACAGTTTACTGGTGACAACCTTCTTCCTGGTTCATAGCCAGCAACTTCTGCCTGTGTCCAGGGGCTAGAGATCTGTCTGGAACCACTGTTATGAAAGGGCCCTCGTTCCATTCAGGAGAGTTCTCCCCTCTCTTCAGGATTCCCGAAGGCCTGCTCCCTAACTCCCTCCTCTTTGGGGGTTAGGTGTCAACATTTGGGAGGACACAAATATTCAGACCATAGCAGGTGCTACAGCAGGGAAAAGACAGTTCTGTGCAGCCTTGCGGAAGTTTTGTACTCTGTCTGCTGTGAAATTAGCAGAAGGAGCAGGTCTTTCTCAGATAGATCCACTACATCTGCGTCTGCTGCATACTCCTTACTGCTGGCAGGATTCTAACGAGGTTACAATCTCTGACCCTAGAGGCTTCATTAAACCTTTCATTTCCATAAAGTACCCTATTTGGAAGAATTTTGATGGGAATGAAATGCTCCAAATAATGGATTTGAAAATCCTTTTTTTATTTGGAATAGGTATTAGTAAAATGAAACTCTCTGTGGCTGTTCAAGGCTATTTTAGAAGAGTAGAAAAAATAAAAAAAAGGAAAATGGGGATTATAGCAACCCAACCCCAGAATCATAAAGCAGAGTACAGGATAGTGGATGTGAGCAGAGAAGCAATAGTTTAAAAACCAACACAATCACTATTTTCCAAAAACTATTCCAATGAGTGGAATCCACGGTCTTTGTGATACAAAGACACCATATGCTATACTGCAAGGAGTTACGTTGGGGAAGAAAAAATCTCACTTTTTACCATTAGTCACCTATGACTTTAACCACTAAAATTCTCTGGAAATATCCTTCCTGACCATATGCAAATTTTCCTATCATCACGGAGTTTTACTTAATCAAATGTGTACATGTGACTTTGGCTTGGTTGCAAATAAAGATGGCACTTAGATTTGTTTGCGCTTTCCTGGTGACTCCGACGGTAAAGAATCGGCCTGCAGTGCAGGAGATCTGGGTTCGATCCCTGGGTTGGAAAGACCTCCTGAAGAAGGGAATGGCAACCCACTCCAGTAGTGTTTCCTGGAGAATTCCATGGACACAGAAGCCTGGTGGGCTATAGTTCATGATGCTGCAAAGAGTCAGACACGACTGAGCGACTAACACTTTCATACTTTTTAGATTTATATACCTTAAAACTACCAGTTTTACCATTCATTCCTACTACATATAAGAATATGGAAATGTTCTTCAGAGGTCAAGGGCAAACATGTGTCATATCCTGGAAACAAATTGCAGGCTGAAGAACTTCTGTTCCTCTTCTTCTTTGTCCAAGAGAAGGAAGAGTGGAGTTGATGTCGCCAAGATGAAACTGAGGAGAAACAAACCAAAACACATCTTTAGGTTTGTATAGTACTGGCCTCATCCTGAGCACATTATAGAGATTCGATGCTGGGCCCGAGCATTATCAACTATTCTTTAAGAGCAAAGAAAAATGCTGCTCCTGCAAATGTGAATGTCTAAATACTAATCAAAGCTTTGCTGCAATCCTGCGGAAATGCATAATGAGATTTACCAGCTGTCAATCACCGTGATTCTGACAGCTGTAGTAAGATTCCGGGTTAACATGTACTTCTCAGTAACTTGGGCCCCAGAGCAGGTGTTGAAAAGACAGCTCTGAAACTGTCAACCAATTTCTCCCCATTTGGAAAGGAGGAGGCGGCCATCCTTGGTCCAAGCATGAGTGGGGCCGTACAAGAACTGGGGCAGATAAGTGCTTAATTTTTTCTTCTCTACCTCCACTCATTGTTCAAAGGCATGACAATTCCCCCCTGCAACTGGTCTTCCAGAGGGACAGTTCGGTAGAAGACTGTCTAATCAGGAAAGGCAGAGTGTTTGAACTCAGAAGTTTTACTCTAATTCCAATAGAAAGATTTCCAGTAAGAGAAATTAGTTAAGGGTCTGTTCTCGGTAGCAGAACGTGTTTACTGCCACCTCTTTTGAGATAATGAAATGCCATTTAAATTACCCTCTCCCCCTGGTAAATCTGAACAGAAAGCAAATTCTCTAAGTTTCCTATCATTTGGCAGAGCCTGAAACCGTGTCTAGTAATCACTTCAAGTCTCACTGGGGAAGAACAGCAGGTAGGAAGCTATTTGGGATTTATAGTGCCATTTACTTCTCGAGGCAAAACCGGAGTCATAAAAAGCAAGAAGAAAGACTTCTTGAGCCCTCTGGGGTAAGTAAGGCAATAGACTTTAAAATTCTGATTTTTATTACTCTAGACAAAAGAAGACACCTTAGCCGGTTACTGAAAGGCTGAACTTCAGCCTTTTTCTGCCTACTTATCTCTACGGAGCTCAAACAGGGCTGGCGCTCTCTCTCCCCGCGACTCAGTCTCCCCACCCGGGACGTGAAGCCAGCAATATCCCCCAGGTGCGGGAGACTCAGGAATAAGAGGCGCCATCGCGGGGACTCTAGGGCTTTGTAAGGATGACGAGACTCTGACGGCCGAGAAATCAGACACAAGTGTTTCGTACCGGAACTGGTCCAGGTCATGCCCTCTGCCTGTTTCCATGCCAGGGATCACCCTCTGTTCCTATGGGACCCTTCACCTAGGGTAGCAGGTGGGTAGGAAGGGGGAGGAAAGAAAGAACCCTGAGTCAGTGTAGCTGGCTTTCCGGGTAAACTTGGCTAGGACCCAGCAAGAAGGCAGAGAGGACCTCATGGCTTGACACCCGTCTGAGGCAGTGGAAAGATCCGGTGCGAGGCTCACTTGCAAACCAGTCGAAGTGGGAAGGGGTCTCTGATCCTGGGCCTCCCCCCTCCCCCGCAACTCCTCCTCTGGGGCTTGAAGGCCGCTCATCCCCTTGCTGCAGACTCCTTCCCCTCGCTGACAAACGCGCAAGGCTCTTTTCCGAACAGAAAAGCGCGAGCAGGCAATGGGACCCCGACACCCCTTCAGGCGCAAGCGTGCTGCGTCCATCCCCTCACACGGCGGGAGCAGGGAGACGTGTCCGGAAAAGCGGGTGCTGGCGCTCAGGCTCACACCTCGCCTTTCTCTATGCGTGCACCGTCTCCCCGCTCTCCGCTCAGCGAAAACAGCAACGCAAAGCGGCGGTCGCAACGCCCGCCAGAATTAGGGAGGCTGAGAGAGGGCGGGCATGTCTGTGCCCAGCAAGGAGCAGGGGCTCGGAGGAGCCCGAGGCTGCCTCCGCTCACAGCCGGAGGCGCGGAGACGCCGCCAGGACCGCCAACCCCCGCCCTCACGCCCGCCGGGCCGCGGGCCCCGGGGGACCGGGTGTGTGTTGACCTTCTGCCGTGTGACAAGGATAAACACCGCCCCCGCCTCGGAGTCCTGCCGGCGCCGGTTTCCGTGACGCAGCAGAGTCTCTTGCCGTTTACCCAGCAGCGCAGAGAATGCCCCCTTCAGTTTATAGTCAACAGATCGGGTGCTTTGCTTCCAGCGCGGCCTCTGCCTGTGCTTCCTCCGCGCCGGGCAGCCGTGGGGTGGGGTCCCCAGAGCTCTGAAGACCCTTGGGGGTGGGGCGCGGGGCCGGCTGAGTCGCTCTTATTTCAGCGCTCAGGGAACGCGCTCTGTTACTGGCAGCGAGCCCTGGCCGCATCCTCATAGGCCGGAGGAGCCCCAGATTTGCTCTGGTCGCTCTGGATATTCTGCAGTGAGTGGGGCACGTGAGGTGGGCAGGAAAAATGTGAAGGAGTGAAAGTGTTAGTCGTTCAATCGTGTCCAACTCTTTGGGGCCCTATGGACTGTAGCCCACCAGGCTCCTCTGCCGGTGGGACTCTCCAGGCAGGACACTGGAGTGGTTTGCCTTGCCCTCCTCCAGGGCATCTTCCCAACCCAGGGATGGACCTGGGGTCTCCTGCGCTGCAGGCAGACTCTTTCCCGTCTGAGCTACCTGGGCAGAAAGGGCATCTGACATCCTCTGTTCACCCGTGTTGGCTCGCTTGGAGCCTGTGACCCCCTTGATTCCCGCCCTTTCATCATCCACGGAGCAGGCGGGTCCCGGGACGTCGCACCGGCCGCGCAGCGCACTCGGGTCTCCAGGCTCAGCCTGGAGCTTGCTCCACCCCGTCTGCAGCCGTGGACTGTTTGTCTGCAGACAAGATGCCAAACCTGTGTGTCCTATGTAAACAAGGTGTTTGTGGGGAGCGGAAACCAGACTGGTTAGGCCAGCTGGCAGCCAGACAGTGGATGGAAAGAGAGCCCAGAAGCCTGGTGCCGGTGCGACAAGTGAAAGGGCCAGAAACGAGCCAAGGGAGCAGGGAGAGCGGCTGCTCAGGGTCGTGGACGCCCCGGGAGGCGGCCGCCGGCCGGAGAGAGCTAAGGCGGCTCGGGTGCACGTGGGGCCGCCTGTGCTGCTCTTGCACCAGAAATGGAGGGTCGGGCTGGAAATACATTGGACAAAAACCTTTGCCAGCTGTAAGACCCCAAGCACACTGGCAGGGAGGGAGGGAGGGCCGGCCTGGGGCCGCGAGCTCCTGCCCTCCCTCCCCAACCTCCGAATCCAGGACGGAAGCAGAGGAGATGTCAGAGGAGGGCGTCGTGGACCATTTCATAGTATATAAAAGCATTGAGCCGCTGTGGTGTTCACCGGACACTTACATAATATAGGATGCTAACTATAACTCAGTGAGAAAGACACTGGAAGACCTTTAGGCCCAGAAGAGATGATCTGATTTTATTCTGATCTTATTCTTTACAAGTGAGAAAACTACAGGGCAGGAAGGTTAAACAGCCTCAGAGCAGGTCTCTGGGTCAGTGTGGAAAAATCACTCTGGATCCGGGTCTTCATTATCCAGGTGTTGGTTACATCTGCAAATGTTATACCCTCTCTCCAAACAAGGTCACTTTTCCTGATACCAAAGGTTAGGACTTAGTCATTTCTTTTACACAAAATGCACAGGCTTCCTTCTCACACAGGGAAGAAGGCCATGTGAAGATGAGGCAGATATTGAAGTGCTGCATTTTCAAGCCACGAAATGCCATGAATTGTCAGGAACCACCGGAAGCTGGAAGAGGTGCATAAAACGGACCCTCCCTCAGGGCCCTTCAGAAGAAACCAGTTTCTCTTTCTGACCTCTGGCCTCCAGGACTGGGAGACAGTGAATTCCTCTTGCTTTAAGCCACCCACCCAGTTTGTGACCCTTTCTTGCGGCCACCCTAGGAACCAGTCCACCAGGCGAAGGAGACCGTGCACCTGTGAAGCATGGAATTTCCTTCGGCATACAGGCCAGTACGTGGCAACCTGTGATGGCTTTCCGCAGAGTCTGGATACACCTTCTACACGTTCTGGGTTAGCTATACAGCCTGAGCATGCAGAGACAGGTGAGAGGGGACACGGAGCAGAGGCTGGGCAGAGAGAGCCAGGACCGAGACAGGGGTTGTAACTGCCCAGGTTTTAGATTCTACAGCTGTGTTAAGGCTTCCCAGGTGGCGCAAGTGGTAAAGAACCCACCTGCCAATGCAGGGGACTTAAGAGACTCAAGTTCGATCCCTGAATCGGGAAGATTCCCTGGAGGAGGGCCTGGCAACCCTCTGCAGTACTGTTTCCCGGAGAATCCCATGGGCAGAGGAGCCTGGCGTGCGCCAGTCCGTAGGATCGCACAGAGTCAGACACGACTGAAGCGACGTAGTGCCGCATGGCTGTGTGAGGGCCGTCTTGCTCTGTGCTGCTCTTGGAGGTTGGGGGATGAGCCAACAGTGGTTCCTAGGGTGGCCGTAGGAAAGGGTCACAAACTGGGTGCTCAAGGCAGGAGGAATTCACTGTCTCACGGTCCTGCAGGCCAGAGGTCAAAGAGAGAAACTGAGCCGCCTGGGGTGCTGTGTTCCCAGTCGTGTTAAAGGGGCTTAAACCGGTGATTCTGCCTGGTGTCCTCGCCCGATAAACTGCAGGGGGTCAAGTCCACGTCCACAGAGCCCTCCCCTTCCTCCCTGCATCTCTGAGGCAGCCCCCGCACGCTCAGATCCCACCTGGCCCCCGCCTGGGTCCTCACTGCCCCCCATCTTGTTCCCTGCCCCCCACCGCCCCGCCCTGCCCCCACCCTGCACCCCCCCACCCTGCCCCCACCCCGCACCCCTGCACCCCCCCCCCCGCCCCGCACCCAGCCTAGCCCGGTGGACCCATCTGCAAGGAGTTAGCAGCGGCCCACCCTGGGGACCCATAGCACACCCCCCTCTGAGGACACTTCAGTCTGCTGGCCTTCCTTGTTTAATTACCCTCACAGAGCCCTGCAAAGACAGTGGTGTGCTGGATTGAAAAGACCCGCTCTGTTTTAATTAGACATATGTCTCCCATGTCGCCTGGCGCGGACAGCAGTCACTCTAGGCTTTCTTGGTCCTGACAAGAGAAGGTGGATGAGGCAGAAGCTGCCTCTTCTCATTCAGTCTGGCCTGTCAGGTGAGCTTTGTATTTCTTTGTGGTGAAATTGCTCAGTCAGTTAAGCAGGGGGCAAAACAGAGCCAATACATGGAGTGTGGACCCTGCAGCCAGCTGGCGCATAACTCCGGGCTCGGCTGCTCTGCTTGTGATTTTGGCGGCTGGCGAGCCCTCCCTGTGCCTCAGTTTCCTCATCTATAACTTGGGGCTGCTAATGGTGCTTATCTCATAGGGTTTTCGTGACGGTTATATGAGTCAGTGGCTTCCCTGACGGCTCAGTGATAAAGAATCTGCCTGCAATGCAGGAGACGCAGGGGGCCTGGGTTCCATCCCTGGGTTGGGGAAGATTCCCTGGAGAAGGGCATGGCAACCCACTCCAATATTCTCACCTGGAAAATTCCATGGACAGAGGAGCCTGGAGTGATACAGACCATAGGGTTGCAAAGAATTAGACAGGACTGAAGTGACTTAGCATGGCACGTATGAGTTAATAACATAAAACACTTAAAGTAGTGTTATAACCTTCAGGTGAGTTGGGTTTATTTCAGTTCATGCTTTTTGAGTATTTGCCATCATTTCCTGCTTTTAAAGCCACTATTGGCAAGTGGCAGGGGAAGCCATCAATGACAGGGTAAAAAGCTTCTGCACCCCTCACTTTCTGTCTCACAAAACACCACTTAAGGAAACTCTTTTTGTGAAAGTCTGCAAAATACTTGTTCTTCCTCCAAAGTACCTCCAACTCCATTATAACCTTTCTGAGGGTGGAGAGACTGATAATTGTTTTTACAGTCAGTTTGGTAGACGTGCGTCTTTTCACTTTATCTAAAAAGCAGCTGGAATTCTGTATGTGCAGTCCTTATTCCTGGGTGTCCTTGAGCTGGTGCCTGGGTTTAGGGGCAGTGGTTATGCTAAGGATGGGCTTCCCTCGTGGCTCAGATGGTGAAGAATCTGCCTGCAGTGCAAGAGGCTGGGATCCGATCCCTGGGACAGGAAGATCCCCTGGAGAAGGCAGTGGCTGCCTGGCTCTGTATTCCTGCCTGGAGAATCCCATGGACAGAGGGGCCTGGAGGGCTACAGTCCGTGGAGTTGCAAAGAGTTGGGCACGACTGAGCGACTAACACTTTCACTACTACTTTCTCCATGCTGAAGCCCCAAAGACATAGTGCTCAGCAAACACCAGCCCAGCGCGCTGGGGACCGTCTGTGAGGACTTGCTCCCGTTCGCTGCTCTTCCGGCCGCTCACCAGCTGCTGCAGCTGTGGCCAGACCCCGGCCCCACCCGTGGTGATGACGCCCACATGTGGATAGTGGTTTTGAACGCGCGATCTAATGAGCAAGGAGAAAGGAAGCACACGTGATGGTATTTTACAAGTGAAAGTAGCCCCTAGATCGCCAAGCAAAGATGCACTGAATTGGTAGAACCGTATCCTTGAATGATGCATTTTCTCTGCCAGTTTCTCTTTGATCGAGACAAGTGCAACTCTGGGTGACCGGCGTGGCGGTTCATCATGGTGCCTGATACCCCGCCTGGTGTTTGAATCAGGAGGGTCCTTTTGTGGCTCGGGGTCACAGCAGATGGGATCAGCTCATTTTTACTTGCCTGTAACCACGAGTCCACTCCAGAGCCAACCCGGCCTACGTCTGGGAAGCACATAAAGAAAGCTCATCAAAGAAAATGAGAAACGAATCCACGCTGGTTTCTACGAACCGCCGGGGGTGCTACTGAAGGGAGATACTTCCTTTCTCCACTGCAGGGACCCTGGCAATCAAGAAATACAGTGGATTTTCAGGGAAACATCACCTAAAACAATACCACTTATGTATGCCAGGCAGTGCCATCCTTTGTAGTAGCTTTCTGTACTGGCTAATTGCCAATGTACTAAACCAATAGTGTGTAGACCCCTGGCCTTGAAGGTCTAACTTCTCCAAAGCTGTCCTTTCTGCCCCTTGCTTTGCCACAGAAATGCATTCTTTTCTCTCCCTACTGGGAAAACAGTTGCCCCTTTAAACTAAGGACTTTGGCATGGGCCTCAGACCACCTGCTAAGAGAGCAAAAGACCATCAGAAAAATCTGCGTAAACACTGCATCTCCCCATCGCTAGACAGTGACCAGAGTTCTAACACCCCAAGCCCCTGTATACCCTGGGCTCAGCCTTCTGAATGCTGACCTGTGTCCTCGCGTTACGAGCTCCAGCTTATTCCCTGCCTCCTCTTGTTCTCACTCTCAAGGGAACGCCTTTCTGTTAGGCCTCCCAAAGGACACTGTTGATGGCCCCAGAAATTCGAGCCAAGGCTCACAAGATGGGCCAGATGGCTTTCCTTCTCTGGTGCCAAAACCGTGGTGACTCTCTGAACCTAAGACTTTCACATGGGAGCTAGAAAATGACTACCCAGGCCAAGAAATCTGTCCTCTATTCAGGAACAAAATGACTGGTTATTGCTGAGGCCTGTGCCTCTGCGCTGGCTGCTGCTGTTTAATGTTTATTTGGCTGTCTTGGGTCTTGGTTGCAGCTCGTGGGATCTTTGTTGCAGCTGCAGGATCTTCCTCGTTGTGGCTAGAGGCCTTAGTTTCCCCTCAGTGAGTGAGATCTTAGTTCCCTGACTGGGGATCAAACCCAGGTTCCCTGCATTGGAAGACAGATTCTTAACCACGGGACCCCCAGGGAGGTCCCGGCACTGGTTGCTAAAGAGCTCTAATAAAGACCACGGGACAGCCTGCCCAGAAGGCCAAAGGAGCTTCCCAGTTTCCGGGGGGAGCCCAGCATTTCTTGAGTGAGCCCTAGGCGGATGGACCCGCTCTCATGGGTAGAGGCTGGTAGGGCAGGAAGGCTGCGTGGTGGCTGCAGCTGGTCTAAGCTTCCTGGAAAGGTTTGCTCTGCTGTTTGGAAGCTGTGCTAAGCTCTGCTGCAGATGGAGAGGTATGAGCTGGCTGAAAGGCACCCTCAGCATCTATTAGGAGACTCTGGACTATTCTGTGTGTGTGCGTTTGAGTCTGAAGGTTAAGATGCTTTATACAGGACGGGATGCAGGTGCTTTGAGGAGATTGTTTCCAGCGGTAGGGTCTGTGTTGACAGGTCCTAGCTGCTGAGAGGATGGTTGTATTCAGTTTCAGTTCATTCAAGAACTTCCTCAGGAGACTGAAAGGTCTGCTTCCCAAAGCTGTGTGTACTGAGGACACCTTCTGACTGAGGAAAAGGTGGTGAGTGCACCTCAGGCCCTACTGGAGACGTCTCAGCATCAACAAATAACCATGTCCCACCATGGCCAGAGGACAGCCGAGCAGCGGCTCTGAAGCGTGAAAGTGAAGTAGAAAAATCCAGAGTCATGTGACTGTATGAAAACCTGGAGAGTTAGATTTCTCCTACCAGGGACATTAAAAAGCAGAGACATTACTTGCCAACAAAGGTCCGTCTAGTCAAAGCTATGGTTTTTCTAGTGGTCATGTATGGATGTGAGAGTTGGACCACAAAGAAAGCTGAGCACCGAAGAATTGATGCTTTTGAACTGTGGTGTTGGAGAAGACTCTTGAGAGTGCCTTGGACTGCAAGGAGATCCAGCCAGTCCATCCTAAAGGAGATCAGTCCTGGGTGTTCATTGGAAGGACTGATGCTGAAGCTGAAACTCCAATAATTTGGCCACCTGATGGGAAGAGCTGACTGATTTGAAAAGACCCTGATGCTGGGAAAGATTGAAGGCGGGAGGAGAAGGGGTCGACAGAGGATGAGATGGTTGGATGGCATCACTGACTCAATGGACATGAGTTTGGGTAAACTCCGGGCATTGGTGATGGACAGGGAAGCCTGGCGTGCTGCGGTTCATGGGGTCGCA